GGGTGAGGGGGGTCCGAGGCTGGGGTGGGGGCCGCCCCGGCACGTCTGGCCCCGTGCAGGGCTCACCTGTGAAGTGGACGCAGATGCCCCCACCCAGACCTCACAGCACGGATGCTGGGGGGACAGGGGCCCGGCACGAGGTCTCCCCAGAGCCCCCGGTCCTGGTGGGCCAGGAGAGGCTGTGGAGGGCTCAGGCCGGCCCCTCTGCTGACCAGGAGACGGTGCCGACCGTGAGTCTCAGGTGGAGGCCACATGTGTGGGGCGGCGGCAGGTCTGGCCGCATCTCATGAGAGGCCCCAGCACGCACAGAAGGGGAATGGATGTGAGGGAAAGAAAAAGCCAGGCGCACCATGCTGGGTGGCACGCCAAGGAGAAACCACAGGTTTTCAGGGTGTTAGAATGCGACGTTTCCCCACCCCCGACTCCGTTGATCCAAGCAACTTCGAAACCTCCTCTCTCAAATTCTGTCCTCATGTCGTGTCACCCGCACAGGGCAGGCCAGTGAGACTCCCTCCCTTACACACTTCTAACTTTATTCTTTATTTTTCTTTATTTTCGATTTTTTTTTTTGTTAGAGGTGAAGTCTGGCTATGTTGCCCAGGCTGGTCTCAAACTCCCGGCCTCAAGCAATCCTCCCTCCTCAGCTTCCCAGAGAGCTGGGATGAGCCTTCTCTGACTTTAAATCACAGCAAACGCTTCAATACTGCCCACATACTATTATCTCCCGTAGTTCTCCTGGCTGCTCTTTCAAATAAGGGCCCTTACGATCACCCCCGTTTTGCAGGGAAGGCGACAGAGGCTCAGAGAGGTTAGGTCTCTGGCCCGGGTTCTCACAGCCACACACAGGCAGAGCCAGAGTTGAACGTTGGCTTTCTGACTCCAGAGTCCGTGCCCCTAGTGCCCCTCTCCTACGTGGATGCTGATTTTGGGGAGCTGCCCACTTCGGGAGGGGAACCCCTCACCCACCCACACGGGGGGAATAGTTTTAAGTTTGGGTGAAACTTCAAAAGGTGAAAACAAAAAGGTGCTAGTTTTCCCGGCAGCCTGAGCAGGAGAAGAGAATTGCAGCCGGATTCCTCAAAGCGCCCCATCTATCCTGTGAGCCCCGGGAATCACTGATTCCCCGAGGGGTCCGTGGCGAGCACAAAAAAGCCAACCCTCTGACTCCACGTGTCCCGGGAGCGGCGGCCGCCACCTGTGGCCTGTCGGGCCATCGACGGGGGCTCTGCACACGGCTGGCAGCGCTGATCCCTTGAAGGCCGCCGTCTCCCCCTCCACCCAGGTCCTGGGCTGGTCACCCACCCGGAGCCGTCACCCCCAGGCCTGCGCCACTCACCATGGTGGAAGGGACCCCGATCTGCCTGCCCAGGAAAGCTCCACACACGGCACCCGGCGCTCGTCAGCCGGGAACAATAAATACTTCCTCCCCGGGGTTAAAAATAGCCCATGACCGCTTTTGGCAGTCATAGGTGAGGGGCCCCTCCACCCCATGCCGTTCTTCTGAAGTCAGGGCAGCTCACCCGCCGCCGGGTGACACGTGAACCCCCAAAGGCATTCGGGGCTGAAGAGGCCGCGGCCCGGTCACGGTCACGAGGAGAGATGTCACTCGCTCTGCAGCACTCGCGCCGGGGACACTTGTGCCTGTCAGTTTTGAGAAAGACAATGGCAGGCCGGGGGACGGCTGAAACTCCCCGAGT